ATTTTTTCAAGCTGTTTTGGCATATTTTTTGTGATAAAAAGTTCCAAATTTCTCTCGTGAGGTAATCAGCCTGAAACTACGCCACTATTCAGGCACGCGCGGCAAATCGTTGAGCTTAACACGCCCTGTGCAGGTGGTCTTGCTAGAGGTCATCTGACTTGCCTCATAGTAGGACTGCTAGGACTCTGTCAGCTGTGCCATCAGTCTCATTCCGTGACCAGTCGGTGGACCTCACCAAGCCCCATTGTGTTCCTGTCTGGCGCATCCAGGATCTACTATGCACCACGCAGTCGACTTCATCACTGAAAAAGTCCTCCAAAAGCAGGGCAAAAACGAGCACCAAAAACATGATTGTCTTGACTCCAGGTATGTGAATTATTTGATCAGATATTCCGTAGAGTACAGAGTTCGTCCAGTTCTGGTGTCCGCACCTTTCCGGTCTCAAACACAAGATGATTCAGAGTTCGTCGTGGGCAGGTTCTGCCTTCAAAATGGCACCAGAGACGTTTGTGAACCACGCCTTCTGGTCTTTCAGGCACGCCCACTCTTCCAAACTCCCTGTGTAAGAGTACATGTCATCAAACGTACAAGGGTTGAAGTGCCAAAGTGCTAAGCTGGTGACACACCTCTAAAGAACGTCTGGAAGTGCAGACCCTGAACGGAGGACTTGGCCACATTAGTGTCTTGCAGAATGAGCCCTGTAGCGTGGAGCACGGACTGGCCATTGATGAAAACTTCAATTTTGCCTGTGTGTATGTGCGATCAACCGTGCCCTGAAGGAGACTCGGTGGAGGGAAGCATACCATCTGCGTGACCCACAGTGTTCATCCTCACGCGCTCTGCGATGACCGTCCAGCGTCCCGATGCAAGTGTTCATCCTCACGCACTCTGCGACGACCATCCAGCGTCCCGGTGCAAATGTCCAGAGGCCGCAGCCAACAGAGAAACCGTATCAGGGTTGTGGTGTGATTGTGGCACGTCTAAGAGCGCGGTGGTGTTCATATCATTCAATAGGATGTAGGTGTAGAGCTCGCCCTTGCCGCCCAGCCTGTGTTCCCCTCATGAGCACCGGCCACCCAGTGAGCCAAGGAAGCCACTTACCTCCACATAAGCCACAGATTGAAGCACTTGCATTGGCTCTCTTGTCGTCCATGTCGCCATCTTGACTCGTGTGCGCGCAAGAGGATCAACTCAGCTGTTCAAGACACAAAAAGACAGAGTTCGGAGCACACAGATGCCTGGCAACTTCCCGCCCCTCTGCCACTCCCAGCCATCCTCAAACAGGACCTCGTAGCTCATGATGACCTCCTGCCACTCTCCACGCCGCTTGAGCTTGTGCTGCCATGTCTCTGGACCATGTATATAGAACCCAAAGCCACCTGGCGGCGCCGTCTTGTTCCTGGGGTTGATGCTATCCTACGCAAAGACAGCTTCCCAGGCAGTGGGATGTGCTGCGTCTGCGTAAGGTGGGATGACAACATTGTGTGAGTGACGAGAGACATTGTGTATGCCGAGCTTGGAGTCAAACAGCGCAACATGTGCAGCGTGCACCAGAGAGACAGCAGGGGCAGTCGTGAGACCCGAAACAATTTGGGCATGTGGGATGGGGAAGAGAACATTTGTAGCAGTCATGATGCAGGTCCAGGAACGAAAAGCACGGCCGATGCTGCACAAAGTCTGCCCGTCCCGCTTTCGCGATTACTGGAGAACGTCTAGGAGTTGGGAATTCTGTGCCGTCTAGGGTGTTTACACTGTCTGCTCTGTTCATGCCATCCATGTAAGCGCTCCATCACATGTCACAAGCCTCAGACCTGGGATGGTGATAAAGCACACTGTAAGGCCATGCCTCACACTGCACACAGCAAGAGAGACATAGGATATACAAGGTTATTATACTGTAGTTAGAGTGTCTTAATGGGCCAACAGGCGTGGCATGGAGTCACTGGCTCCCTTTCTGCAGTAAACTAAGTGCTCTGCTTTTGATACTCATTTATGGGATCAGAAGTAAGCACTAAAATTAAAATTAAAATTGCAATATACCAGGAGCATATATATGCTGTATTTGAAATGTTTATTATCACATACCGCGACAGGGCTGGACATTGTAATCAGACAAGTGCTCATTTTATATGGGCAAAATAGGCACCTAAGTTAGAGTCCAGCATTTTCTGCACCGCAGAGCGGTGTCTTGAGAATAAAATAAATTAGAGAGATGGTATAGACAGCATAGAGCCTACGAGAGAACATGGATGTTATAGACAGCAGAGACAGAGTGAGCAAAACGCATGAGCAAAGCAGGACTCTGCTTGTGACACTCTGTCACGAGATGTAACACACCAGTCTGACGTGCGCGTTACAAAACATCACGTTTGACCTAAAACGGAAGGTGCAGAGAGCGCCGACAACATAGATGACACAGAAACCCCAACCCCGGGACCCTCTGGATTACATGGTTCCCACACGTTCTCTACTACTCTTACTGAGCAGACATGGCATAGGGTGGTAAGCATAGTTTTTTTCTTGAGAAAACTTAGGCAAAAGCAGCTAAGCAAGGCCCAGTTATTCCTCGATTCTATGCCAATGCAAACTGAGGAGAAACTAGTGCAAAACCAGCTAAAATGGTCTAAAACACAGTAAAACTGGTGGAAAACTGAGTTTTGCCTTCGGTTTTTTTTTTTTCAAGTGAAAACCAGAGAAAGTTGGGGCCTTGTTTAACCAGTTTTTGGCCAATTTTACACCAGAAAAAAGTGTACTTACCACCCAGTGTGGATAGGGTTCAGCAAATATCAGTAATTACCTGAGAAGCCAGTACTTACTGATTAATAATCATTACCGCCAGTTCAGATGTTGTAATGTAATGCAAGAGATGGCATCACTCCACTACGTGATAAATACTCTCATGGTAGTTGTTCTTGTGGTGGCTATTCTCGAGGTTGGCATCTTTTGTGATTGGCATATGCTCACTCAGGTAGCATTCTCGTGACTCTCCTGAAAATATAAATTTACATATGTGTTTGTTTATGTGGTCTGTGAACACCCTTCTGGTTCTTGCCACCTGTGGCGGCTTGGGCACAGACAATGAAACAGTGGGGTAAGCGGAAGTAACAGGATTGATCAGGGGCATGCGGCAGCACTGAGTATATAAAGGGTAAGGTTGGGAACAGGACATGTAAGGGCATAACAAATAGTAAGGAACCATTTACTTACTTTCAGTCCATCTAGTTAAAGATACGAGTAATACTCATACTGTACTGTATTGAACTTTGTATTTACTGGTATTTATTGCATGTACCACTGGAGTTACAGATAGATCTGCCATACAAGAAGTGTACATCATTTCTGAGTCCCTGCCACAATTGCACTTGCCTGAGAATAGTCCACAAGGTCATGCACACTCGCCTGATAGTAAGGCTATGACTCAGGCATTGCCAATGCATGTGTGCAGCAAGAACAGTCACAGTCAGCTTGTGTTGGGTCAGGTCTGCTAAGAGGTTGGGTGAGCACCCAAATAGCATGCATTGTGAGTCTGTTACTTCCACAGCATGAAGTATGCTAAGAAACACAGTGGTCAGTAGCAGTCCAAAACAAACTTGCAAAGCTGCTCACCCAGCCCTAGTATTTAAAGTCATTGGCCAGATGAGCTACATGTTGCAGAGACTTGCTCACCTGAGGCACAAATGTAGGCTGTGTACATCCATGAATGCCAGTAGTCAGCATCCTTGGACAACATTCCTTGGTCTAGCAAGAACTGCAGAGCCTGTTGCTGTGCACCCCGAGGTGGCACACGGGCTGGACACAGTGTTTGTGAAAATGCGGGCAGGTCAGCATGGGCACATGCTTGGATGACAGTGAAAATAACATGGAGGGCATGCTCAGGACACAGCTGCCACCATATTATGTGCAGCCTAATGATGCATTCTGTGCTGGAGTACAGTGCAAAGCTGCCGCCATCACTGAAGGACCTTAACTCACTGCTCCCACTACTGCAGAAGGTGCTCCTTGTTTGTGGTGGCAATGCTGAACACTTGCTGGCTCTGTTTTCAGTCATGCACGCTGCTTTCCCCACCAGTGACACTGGCACCAGCAGCATTACGGCAATGCATGGAGTCAGTGCTTGCACCGAGGCTCAGCAACAATGATGCGCTGCTCATGCATGACCAAGTACTAATCTGGCACTTGCCTGATGCCAAAAAAGTAGTTATCTGGTGCTTGAGTATGATCAACTGATGACATTGATGCCGCTAAAGCTCACACCAATTCTCCCCACCTGTTATACATTATCAATAATTACAGGCTGGTACTGGTAATATATTGGTACTGTACTGTACTGTATTTAGTTGCAATGGTACTGGCAGTCCAGACACCAGGCTGGTATTTACTTAGAAATTACTGGTAATGGGATATTTTATTGCATTAAAATGGTATTTTTGCCAAGCACTGGGCGTGGATACACAGTCAGGACATATGTTATGACTAGTGGTGTGCGAGCCCGGCTTGGGCTCAAAGCCCGGGCCTGAGCTTGTGGCAGCGACAAGCCGAGCCCTGAGCCTGAGCTGAGCCCAAGCCCAGCCCAAACCGCAGGTTTAAGCCTGGGCTTGCTCACAATATAATGAATATCCTGGTGCTATGAAACGGGAGTATATTTGAATGTAGTAGATTATTACTGCGTGTACTCACTGAATTCAGCCTCCAGAAGATGTACACTTGGGGAATAAGTTGAGTCGCAGCGAAGCCCACAAGCACGCGCCTACGGCAGGCACCAAACGGTGATGCACAATCGTGCTTGGCGGGGGCCGTCAAGTCTAAAATATCAATATTATGTCTGGTATGTACATCTTAGATCTCTCCCACCTTATCCTGAACTCAGGAAACAGTAACAGAGCCGGTACACCCAAGCCTGAGCTTCCGGGCTGGACTTGGGCTTGACTACGCTCTGAGTCTGGCCTTGAGCCTGCTGCCAGGCTTGGCTCGGGTCAGGCTTTTTGGGCCGGGCTTGGCAGGCTCGCAGGCTTTGAGGCCTGGCCTGCACATCACTAGTTATGACCAGCAAGATCTTGCAGGCTAGATGACAAACAGCCCCAAAAGTGTGGATATATTGAGTATGCATGTGTGAACTAATTGAGACCCATTAGGAAAAATCTCTCCATACAAACACCTGCAATTATATGATGGCCCATATAATGTGATTACAATTGCATCATAATTGAAACAATATGACAATATGTATAATAGCACAACAATTACCAGCTGTTGTTTCCAGATTGTGCTCAGTAGGTGTAGACACCAAATTACTGACATGTAGCTCTAAGCAAGCTGCAAGGCCATGGTGCACAGATTGCCATCCATGCCATGACGTAGTGAGATAGTGTCATCCTCCTGAACCAAGGAGAACAGAGATGATGCCCATGCCATACCTGCTCTTGTCCAGCATCATAGAGCCAGCTTTTTCTTGTTCTCCAGGGCCCAAAGTGCAACCGGAGCTACTCGGCATGAGAGGCAATGTGAGTAGTGGTGCATGCAGTCAATTGGTGGGAGCGTCAGAGACTTTTGAGAGACTGTGACATCTGCATGGGCAACTGGCCCATTAGGTGCCGGAACTATGGGAGCTGCTGGTGGCAGTGGAGGCAGAGGTTCTGGAGGAGGAGGCAGAGAAGGTGGAGGTGGAGGTGGAGGCGGAGGTGGCTGTGGTGCCACCAGTGACAAAAGGTAGGTCTGCAACTGGCCGTCAATCCGCTCATCTGAGTCATCAGCAAATTGAGCACACAGGCCTATGCGCAGCAAAATGCGAAGGTCAAGTTGTCCAACATGGCCAGGAGGCTGCTGTCCGGTGTCCATTGTTGATTCACAGAAGAAGGACATGGCAACTAGTGATTTGACTGGCTTGGCTTCAAGCCAGCAAGCCAGCCAAGCCAAGCCTATGCAAGCCAGGCCAAAGGGTGCCAGCTTGGCAAGGCTTTTGACTCAGCTTGAATGTCAAGCCAGCCAAGCCAAGCTGGAAAGCCATGGCTTCAGATAATAAACTTATTGTGTTTAGTACTGCTGTTAGAGTGATCAGCAATAAAGTGCCTTCTGGCTCAGGACAGCAGAGCGAATGCTGCAGGTCTCTGGCTGCGTGCAGTCTGATGCCTGCTTGGCCACTGCCTCTCCCCTGAGCACTCTAGACTGCGACCACGCACATGCCATGTTGCTCTATGAGGATGCGGCAGCAAATTTGGAGGTCGGATATGCAGCAGGCAGACAGGTATCAATGAGGGCTATCGTCACTGACATTCCAAGAGACGATGCCTGGCCCGAACATTGCCGACAACAACCTCACAGGCATCAGACAAAAGCCAGCCATGATGAGAGAGCAATTCAAGTTGGTTCAGGCTGTCTGTGCCAGTAACTCCTGTTAGTTGCCAAGAGGCCACTACGACCTTCATGCGCATTCGAGCAGCGAGCGCCTCTAGGTAGCACAACAACATCTGCAGGGCGCCCATACCAAAGTGCTGTATGACTTGCGTGCTGCCACTGGCAGATGAGCCCTCACATAGGCATGAAGTGGTTTGTTTGGGTGCAGCTGCTCGAGGGCACGCACGGAACGTTGTGCTGCACCTTCTGCGGCTCGCTGGCACCCCTAGCATCCCCTAATGTAATAGGTGCTCGCCTTGTTGTGTCAGACTCCGCTGTTCGCTGCTCGCGCATGCACCATCTTCAGACATTTTATTTGGTGCATCCTCTCTTTTGTATGAAGCTCGAGCTTCTGAAGAACTTCATTGACATTCCACATCTATATTATGCTTAATATTATGTATTTAAACATTGTACTATGCAAGGAAACTATTTACATGTTGTACATCTTCATGTGTCTACGTGCAGCGGCTGTGGAACCATTGACAAGGTCAATCCACAACACCTGCCTAATTAGGTTGCAAGCCGCGGTCCAAGCCAAAGCCAAGCCACTGGCTTATGGCTTGCTTGCGGCTTGGCTTGGGTTTTCGCAAGCCTGAGCCTGGCAAAGCCGAGCCAAAGCCATCAGCTTCTGGGCCAAGCTGAGCCAGTCAAATCACTAGTGGCAACAAGTTGAAGAATCCCTGCTACACAAAATTCCAAGGTACAAAGGAATCAAATAGCCAATTATGGCTCACCGGACCGCAATAAGGACACAAACTGGCCTAGTTGAGGCGGCGTGTGTTGAGGCCGTGCGAGTTGCTGGTACGAGCACAAACGCTTCTTGCAACTCGTCGGCCAGCTCCTAGACCGTACTCTAGGGTTAGGACTCCTAACCCTAGACTGGTGAGCTGCGAATTAGCGTGACTCGGGCGCTTTTAAATATATTCGGCATTTTTTTTCCCGAGTTTTGATTGTCGCACAAGCTCAATGTTGTCTAGAGCACACAATTATCCCATGAACTACTCAACCAGGACTACATATATTGCAAGAAATATCATCCCCCTCGTCAGTTTCATGTGCACAGTCTGTGTTATCAGGCCGGTCAACATCTAGGACGGGCCACGGCCTTGGCAAGGGAACTTGAAACCAACGTGTCATCCACTGCACGAGGATATCCAGAGGGAGGGTGGACTGTTAGAACGTGCTCCTTGTCAATATACACTGGGTAATGCTCGCACCGGGGCAGTAGTCCCGACACTCACAGGTATCCGGACATACCGCTTCGTCCTCGCGCGGGCGAAGGTGCGAGAACCTGTCTTAAGCCCAAGAGTTCGGCCTAACACACATGTGCTCCCGACGGCGGTCTTGCCCGACGCGGCCTGCGCCCGCCTTAGTCACCGAATCGAGGTCACAATCACGAAAGGTCTCTGAACTCTGAACTGACCAGGTTTCAAGTGTCACAGGTCACAGGGCCTGAACTGTTGGTCGTATCGCTACATTATACACGACAGTTGTCGCAACACTGTTTCAGATCACCCGTCTGCGGGCGCATTCGCATTTAAATTGACGCAGGCGGCAAATGTGGGAGGACGAAGTCTCCCCCGTCCCCTCTTGGCTCCAGCCCTAACGGCGATGATGAGGCTCGCACCAACGTTCTTTGCCCTCCTTACCTTCTGCGCCGCCGCGCTTGCGTGCCCTGGCGAGGAGGGACACGTCCACGCGGATGCCCATAAGCGCGAGTTCCCGCAGCTGCCTCTCACACCGCCCACCCGGCCTCT